ATCCTGAAATAGGATCCACTACAAATATGGCGGGCTCAAGATGAGTCCACCGAAAAGAGATATAAAAGAAAGTGTGAAGAAAAAAACAAGACCAGAATATATATATATATATATATATATATATATATATATATAATAATGGACTCTCCCGTCGGTTTCGACGTATGAGGATCTGCCAAGATAAACCGCCAGAAAACCCAGACAAGTGATTTGATTTGGTGAAGGCTTGTGCAGAACCATCCACACTTTTCGGAACTATTGATACACTTAGTCTTATATATTATATATATATATATATATATATATATATATATATATATATATATATATATATATATATATATATATATATATGTGTATATGTGTGTGTGTATATATATATAATATATAACTTTTGACCCTCTTTCCGCTATCTCTAGTGAATATCAGATTTTCCTAGTCGGTTTTACTCAACCTATCTCGGATATTTTAACTGCCTCCTCCTGATGTTAAGTATACGTTTCTTTTTCGTTTGAATTTTTTTTAAAAACCTCGTTTTTGTTCAGATATTTGGTCCTTGGTATGCTCAGCATCTTTCTGTAGAACCGCATTTCTCTTGCTTCAAATCACTTCTTCATCTTCCAGGAACTTTTCCATACAGGAGGACTGATATTACGTCACAGTCCAGTGCACTTTTCTTTGTTTCTAACGGAATGTGTTTGTCCCTTATTAATCTGTTTAGCTTTTGGAAGACTTCCTTGTCCCTTCCAATACGTTTTTAGATTTCCTTGCGTCAATTTCCGTCTACTGTTAAAATACATCCCAGCTGTACATACCTGAACTTTAAAATGACGCTCATCTGAACAAAACCTTCTTATACATTCCATCTCAGTCCACATGTTCAGTTATATAATTTTACTTCAGAAGGGAGTAAAAAAAAAAAGTTTTAAAATCTGTTCATACGTACTTTGTGTGCAGCTTCTTGGGATCTTCTGCAAGTCTGACGCACAAATGTTTGCAAACATGCCCTTGATAATCTTTTTATGCGAAGGCATCACTATTTTTATTTTGCGGTTCGTAAGGGATAATGCCATTATATTTCATGACATTTTAAAGTTCAGACCTTTACAACGAGGACACGTCATGCTACATCCTCTGGGCCGAATCATCAGCATTTCACCAGTATTTCAAACGCAAGTTCGACTTACAAAACAATTACCAAAGAACCGTGAAGAGGAATCCTTGAATGCTGCAATCCCAACAGTATCAATCACTCAATCGCTGTAAACTCCACGATCTTTTCCTTAGCTGTGCGTGCTTCGCTATGGCAACATATAATTTTGAATTTAGATTTGCCCTTTCTCCTAGAATGTATGCCACCGAAAGCTGAATATCCCAGTTTTTATACTATTTAACCCGTAGCAGAGACGGTCAATTTAGTAATACCAAAATTCATTTAATGCTATCCTTAGCTGTATGCGCTTTGCTAGGGCTACATATGATTTTGAATTAAGTTTTGATCTTTTCTCCCAGGCAGTATGCCACCGAAGGCTGAATATCCCAAGTTTCATACTATTTAACCCGTAGCAGAGACGGTCAATTTATTAATACCAAATGGTATTTGCGCGAAAGTGAATTTGACAAATCCATTAAACTACATAACATTCACTTACGTGCTATAACCCAACTGAAAACCCTCGACTCTCGGCTATTACGTTGTTTCACGACACCCGCTTATCAACAGATACGAAGTGTGCGTCATCCCTAAGGGGTCGTACCCAAATGCAGTAAAATCAGGGCAGTTGTTATTATTATTATTATTATTAAATCTAGTATTTATTATTATTATTATTATTATTATAGCTATTATTATTATTATTATTGTTGTTGTTGTTATTATTATTATAGCTATTATTATTATTGTTATTATTATTATTATAGCTATTATTATTATTGTTATTATTACTATTATCATTATAGCTATTAGATTATTATTATTATTATAGCTGTAATTATTATTATTATTATTATTATTATTATTATTATTATTATAGCTATTATTATTGGGATTGCCTTCGATTTTGTAATAGTCATCCTGAGTCTAAAGGAGAATACAAAACTCACATTTCTTGTATTAGATAACCTGTTTATTGTTTTTTATTTCCTTTGATTTCTGGTGTGTCCACGTTTTTTCCCGGTCCCAGAGACCTAAGGTCAGAAATGGTGCCATGACATGTTCCACTGACCAATTAAAAATAAAACAGCCACACACATATTTTTTTACATAGATAAAGCCTTTCGTAACGTGTGGGCTGTACTCGTGAAAATATATTTTTTTTTTTGCATTTACTTAAGGCGCGGACTTCCAGGAATTACTTCAATGAGTCTACTGGAATCTTTTGCAATCAATCCGAGGGCTCCAACTACAACAGGAATAGTTGATGTTCCATGTGCCACATTTTTGAGATTTCGATTTCAAGGCCCTTGTATGTTGATAGCTTTTTGAACATCTTCAAAGATA